TGTGTGTGTGTGTGTGTGTGTGTGTGTGTGTGTGTGTGTGTGTGTGTGTGTGTGTGTGTGCGTGTGTGTGTGTGTGACTGCTACGCAGAAACACGGTGCAGAGTTCCATCAAAACAGCAGCATATTACATGTAAAACGAGTCAAATATGCTTTACGCCATCATGTCCACGAAGTTGTGTATAGGTCCATTAGCGCAGCGTGCAGTTCTTTGTCAAAATGTATTATTAAACATCCGTTAACTTTACCTACATAGCCATCTCTCCAGTAGCGTAAGTCCTACCTAGCCGATTATGCGAGTCTGTACGTGGATCTACAACAAGTCGACCTAACAACAGCTAACCGCTAAATACTCTTCCAATTTCTCGAGGGGAACCTTTAATGGGGACAAACTTTAATGGGGATCGCGTTGCGAGCATTTCAACCGTTGTATGGCGCTTTCACCTCCTAAGGAACATTAGCCGCTGCTCACTTTGGATAGAGTAAACCTGATTCCTGCTTCTGCGCAGGGCTTAAGCATCAGTCACATGCACTCAACACTATTCATAGATTTGAAGGCTGAAAAGATTTTTCTCAAAAGAAATCCACTTCCTGCTCATCTCCCAGGTAAGGGGGATCCACAAATACCCTGGTGGTTTTAAACCTAGGCCAATCAATAATTTCATCGTGCCGACGAAGAGACTGTGTCATTCACCCTCGTGTCTCAGGGATCGGCGCTTCCCATGTAGGCCCCTAATATACTCATACGGAAGTCTAAAGCCACAGGCACTTCTAAATACACTCGATCGTCACAACTTCAACTGGTAGCGCCGATCCCATTATAACTACTCTTGTGTGGCGTATTTCCTGTACTATGCGTGACTAAAATAGTTATTGCATCATTATAACCAGTAGCGGCGCTAAGACGCTCCATACTGCCCCATTAAAATGATTAGCAATCTGCCTTTAGACAACTCTGAGCACTAATCTAACGTCTAACGGTTAGCTACGACATACTGGTGAATTCATACGTGAATTGATGCGTGAATACATGCTGAATGGAGAATTCATTCGTAGATTTGATGCGATGTCGGGTTTAATAATTATGAACAAATATGTATGAGCCTAATGCGACTGTAATTATACCTATATGGATTAGGCTATTCAGTCTATCAACCCAGTGCAGGTACTTATTTGTGAACACTATTCAAAGCATAAGTAACGCGTTGGGCATTAAGTAGATTAAAACACACTTAAATTTCCGATTCATAGACACGTATACTCATTTACTTTATTTCCGAGAATGGTACATCACGAATTTGTGTATACGACGAGCGTACGTCTGAAACGCAAAATCTACACTCGCACTTTTTACTTTTCGTTTGCTGTTGGGGTCTAGATCGAGTAACTGTTCCATTATAACGCCGTCAATGGATCACAGAATGAAAATGTCGCCTTGGCTTCTTCGACAACAAGTTTCTACTGTGAAACGGTAACTAGGTTACCAAAATCCTCTTATTTACAGCAACCACATCATGCATGTACGTCTTCTTCAGTATAAAATCTGAAGTCACACGCCCACGCACACGCACACGCGCACGCACGCACGCACGCACGCACACACACACACACACACACACACACACACACACACACACATACATACATACATAAGTGCATGTGGACGTCAACTCTAATGGATTCCGACATTTCCAACGTAGCACGTTAAATAAGCCGTAGCTACGTAGTATAAGTAGCAAGTCGTAGCACGTTAGTATAAGTGAATGAAGTCATTGCGCATGCCGTAAGAATAGGATCAAACTATCTTTATGCTTTGTGATTTATGTGTAATTAATGAGTAGCGCTACTCAACTACCTTGCGTAGGGCGTAACTCATTGCATGCAAAGTGCTCATGGATTTAAGGCTGCGGCGCTTCTTTTCTGGAATACAATACTGGAAGACAATACTGGATAACGATTAATCGGCAATTACTTTTTGGCTCTTCATTCAAGTCGTGATTTCTCAGGCAGACAAAAATGGAACGTAAATATTTCGGTGTATCGTGTAGCGTTGCTGATGATGTCTCATACAAAGGCGCCCTACGACATGATGAAATGTGCGCCGGCAGTCAGCCTAGCAGAAGAAAAAAATCAACGCTGACGTTCTCAACAACAATTACTGTCTAAGAGCTGATTGAGATTTCGTACGGCCACTCATGCAACTATGACAAGGCACCGGGTTATGCCGCACAGGAGTTCTACACGAATTATATTATAGGATTTTTATTGTATTTATATGAATATAAATATATTTGCTTGGTTAAAACTCCAGTCTCACATACACTGACAGTCTTCATTCTAGCAAGCATATTATGCGTGCTACTGGTGGGCTGGATCGGTGCTTCGGTTGTGTACAGGTAATTATTTGATACAAACACAAATAAAATCGATAAGCTGATAGAATGAGAATACAGTAATAGATTGAGCTAGATGAATTGTACTGTTACCAGCTAGTTCAGCTCTATTTCTCATATCTATTTCTCGTAGGACTTTGCGTCTGCGTTACCAAATTTGCTGGATTGATTTGATATAATACGCTGATTTAATAAAGCGATTTGGCAATGCGGCAAATTGATTTAATAATATATATATATACTATCAAGAGCTAATAATACATATATTATTAGCTCTTATTGGTATTATTAGCTTTTGGTATTATTAGCTCTTGGTATTATTTGCTCTTGATACTATTGTTGCTACAAGCCCGTTTGCACCAGTGGAACACGTAAAATCCCACACTTCGTATCCCGTAGTTCGTGGTTGATTAGGTGGCATGTGATATATACACATGAGCGCATACACGCCAGTACATATTTGCATGATATCGCGCATATCGTTGTTAGGAAATAAAATCCACAAATTATCTTCCCATGCAACTAGATTTAATCAGCTAGCAAGTGGGAAACGACGATGCTAAAATAGTTAAACAAACGATAACCGGTTTTAATATCGTTTTTCGTTGCTTAGGGAATGAAGTACCTGCACGAGTCCCCCATTAAATCTCACGACGATCTCTGCTCACCTAACTGCGTCTGCGACAGTAGATTCGTTGTCAAGGTAACAACTTTCGGTGTGCGAACGTTGAACCCTACTTACGTAAGATTTTTCACACAACGAAGAACGACGCCACGACGGAAACGCGGCTCACACACACACGCGCACGCACGCACGCACGTACGCACGCACGCACTGGCCCGCCATTAATCTATGGTGTGGGAAAGCGACGCATACCAGCTGCTATTTCCAACACTAGTATATGTCAGGTTTTACCAGCAAGTTCACCCCTACATTTTGGTATTTTTATTCCATTATTATTTTGAATTTTCCGATGGCTTTGCCCGTGCAAAACAAACAGTGGGGATTCATGTTGATCCGAAAGTTAAAAAAAAGAGAATTGTCGTAGTCAGAATGAAGGCTGTACATGTACTCAAAAGTGCCGCAAATACTATCTCCCGCGATCTACATTTTCAAAAATTTCTGGGGGAGAACCCCCATACCCCCCGCTTGTTTTTCACCCCCTCCTTGGAATCCTAGATCCGCCACTGAACAATTACATATCTTGGGAGCAGAGAACAATGAACAAAAATGTCGCCTTTTCGCATGGCACCCAAAACAAAGATTGCAGAGAAGGTAGAGGAGCCGTAGGCTGTGGAGAGGGAGGCGGAGGAGCCATTAAAATATTAAGTCATCCACTATTTTGCGCAGTTTGTTGTTTTTGGCCCCCTTGTTAACAAATCCTGGCTACACCACTGTTTTTTTGTGTTTTCTGACCATATTATTATGCAATTGAAAATAGGAGATTTGGGGATATTTTTTTGGGACAACCAGAAATTGTTGCGGACAACCCGATTTGATGCCTGGGTTGTCCGCAGGACAACCACATTTTTTTGCTTATTTCGAGCACTGCTATATATATAACAACTTGTTATATATAGTCAATGGCCGCGTGTGTGCTGTAGCTGCAGGTGCCGACTTGTTCTTGCTGCCAGTGCCGTGTAACTAGTCTAATGCCTAAGTAATTTTATTGAATATTGTTATCTGCAAATCTCGACGATAAAACAGGCGCAGATCAGGAAACTGGTACCCGAATTACATTACCTGTGAATGAAGTATGATTCAAGAGTTCTAGCCGCGGCTTTGTATAACCGACAAACTTTCTGGGAGTGCGTTAGGAAAGATGTTTGCAAGTGTGCCATTTCTGCCCTTGGGTATGGTGCTACACATAGAAAATTTTGCACCGCATAGAAAATTTTGCACAGTTAGTTAGTAGTTAAATCCGGTTCGAGTGCGCAGGCGCTGAGTGCAGCACCCATATTTCCGGTGTCGCATGAGTCGGTACCCGGTACGTAAGTCATTTCTCATTGGCGTTAAAAAAAATTCGGGAAATATCCGCATAATCTCATAAATATTCTGTTATAGTTCAATTTTTATATAATCTTATTCTTATTCTCATATAATCAAAGTTCAAGGGACTATATCGAATGTTTAATCAATATCTTTTATTCTTGTTTGATATCGGTGCAAAGGCTCTTAGCTTATGTTACAATGTTCATGATATACCGATGAAAATAAATTTTACTTGAACTTGAACTTGAACTTTTACTTGACGGAAAGAGACAAAGTTGATCAAATTGACAAATCAATACTGCGGATCGCAATAGAAAAACCTCAAATTTGTAATTAACTAAAAAGGAAGAGAGAGAATTCCAACACGGAATGACAGAAACAAAGAAGCTAAACCTTTGAAGATGGGATGCGTCGGAAGCAATGATCACGCTTCAAGTGCTAGGTTAATAGCACTAGAAAAACAGCAGAGATTATTTGACCACCTGAATTGCTATTGGGGAAAAACGGCATACTAATCACAGGTCAGAGAAAAGTTATCAAATTATTCAACACACACTATACGTACGTACACCAATCTTGTTGCTATAATATGTAGTAAATGACACTGTCGAAACAAGCTCACATGCAAGTATTTTTCGCTATACAAAATGTGTCAACGTCAAGCTTTAGCTTTAATCCAGGTACTCATTAAGAAGTTTTAAAATCAATCCATATACTATCTACCAATATAGTAACACCAGCAATAACAGCTAATAACACCACCAGTACCAGCACCAGCGGGGGTGAGGAGGAGGAGAAGAAGAAGAAGTTGAAGAAGAAGAAGAAGAAGAAGAAGAAGAAGAAAACGAAAAAGAAGAAGAATTAAGAAGAAGGAGAAGAAGAAAAAGAAAAAGAAGAAGAAGAAGAAGAGGAAGGGTCAGCAGGAGGAGGAGAAGGAGGAGGAGGAGGAAGAGGAGGAGAAGTCAGAAAATCGTCAGACACTAGCGAAAGATTATCGCAAGGAATGACCTC